GGTGAGTTTGAACTGCTGACCTTGTGGTTCAAATTAACCTTACGGTCCAGTGCTTATCCTACAGTGCCACACCAGGACACCAACAGAGAAGGTTATATATAATAACAGACAACAACAGACAACAGACTTTTTCATGTAAAAGGTGTGACAACATCAACAGGACTCCCTTTAACCAAAGTTTAGATAGCTTTATATAAAGGTTTTTCAATGTTTCAATTTCAGGGCAATGATATCTGTGACTCCAAATCATTCAAAACACTACAAAAACCACCTTCTCCTTTATCTCTACTCTTAACTATTTACTCATAGTAACATAAAAGGTTCAAATAATAAATTTACATAATTGTTATTTATAAAAATAAAAGGTGATTAACTGTATACACCTATATATTATTTTTAACTACAAATACTACAATGGTGAAATGTATCAAGTTAAAGCCAATTATTTGCAAAGGACAAGGCAATTCAGTTCTAGCTATTAATAAGATGTCACTAGTTTAAAAACCTTTAAAGATTAAATGATATAAACTATACACAACATTCATGTCACAATTAAACATAGCCTTCAGTTTATTTGACAGTTTATAAAATACAAACATCACTAGAATTTAAGTTTCATAGGGGTAGTTTTTGTTAAACAATAAAATACACAATGAATCTGTTGTTGTTAAGTGCTGTTGAGCCAGTTCCGACTCATAGCGACCCTGTATAGGGTTTCTGAGGAGCAGCTGGTGGGTTTGAATTGCCGACCTGTGGTTCACAGTCCAGTGCTGATACTACAGTGCCACATCAGGAGTACATAAAGAGTCTAGAACAGTACAAAACATATGTTATTGTTAAGTGCCATCGAGCTGGTTACAAATCACAGTGACACTGTTAACAGGGTTTCCAAAGAAAGGATGGTGAGCTTGAACCACCAACCTTGTGGTTAGCAGTCCAGTGTTTATCCTACAGAACCACACCAATACTTCAAAACCTATGTAGACAGTTAATATTTACTAAATAAATTAAATATACATGTTTAATAATTGATTCCCTATAAAATGTATAACCTTTATCCTAGAAGCCTCTCAATAATACAAGTACATGCTATCTCAAGCATGTTTCTTTAGTCTTCAGAAGGATAAAACCTCTGTTGAAAACATAAGGAAACACGAAATTTTCTCTCAAAAATTGCCACCCAAAGGCCAAGCTGGGAGGAAAAAAAATTCACGGTAAAAATTCTTGTCTGTTGGGTCTGTCAATATTTTTCCAAGTGAACCACATGAGGAATGTTCAACATAAATGTAGGGCCAGCCCAGTTTGCATGTTGCTATGATGCTGGTGTGGCACTGTAGGATAAGTACTTAACTGCTAACCTCAAGGTCAGTAGCTCAAACTCACCAGTTCTTCCCCAGAAACCCTATATAAGGTTGCTGTGAGACAAAACCAACTCAATGACACTTAACAACAACATGATGCTGAAGAAGTTTTAGTAAAACTTTCAGACAAAGATTGACAAGGAAGAAAAGGTGTGGCAATCTACTTCTGAAAATCAGCCAATAAAAACCCTGTGGACTACAATGGTTTGTTCCCTAGCCCTTCCTGGGAACACAATGAAATGAGCATTTTGTGTGTGCAGGAGGTCACCATGAGTTGAGGCAACTTGATGGCAACTACCGGGAACAACAGGAGTCCTGATGTGGCACTGTATGTTAAGCACTAGACTACTAACCACAAGGCAGGTGGTTCGAACCCACCAGCCACTCCTTGGAAATCTTATACAGGGCAGCTATGAGCCAGAACCGACTCGATAGCACTTAACAATAACAATCGGGAACAATAAAAAAAATATGACGGAGACGGAGACGGAGATAAAATTGATCAATACACTAAGGTCTTAAGTCTCTAATATAGTATTCTATCTGCCTAACAATGAATGGAGTTCAGGTATGTCACTCACTGTAGGATAAGCACTAGACTGCGATCCATAAGGTCAGCATTCAAACCCACCAGCTGCCCCTCAGAACCAGGGGCGCTATGAGTTGAAATGGAACTGACTAGGTAGCAGTTAACAACAACAACATACAAATAGTGTTTACTACTTTATAAAATGATTTCATGTATTCTCATCTGATACAACAACCTGTGAGGCAGGATATTCCCATTTTATAAAGGAGAAAATGTAGCCTCAGAATTTAAATTCAAAGTGTTACATAGTTAATAAGTGACAAAATAAGAATTTCATGATTTCCATTTCTAAATCACATGCTTTTCAGATTATACCATAACACCTTTAGTCATGAAGTAATCCCCTAGTGTGTAAGCCAAAAGTTTTAATCACATCAGAAACATCAGGAAAGCTTTAAAAAATATAGATACATCCAGAAATTCGTTATTTAATGGGTCTTATGCAGGGCCCAAGCATTCATTCATATTTTAAAATGCTTAAGTGATTCTTATGGAGTCCTGGAGTGGCGCTGTGGATTAATGTGCCAGACTGCAAAGCTGTTTGAACTGCAAGGTTCGGCGGTTCAAGCTCACCAGTGCTGCTCCTTGGAAACCCTATACAGGGTTGCTATGGGTCGAAATCGACTCGACAGCACTTCACAACAACAATAATAGACACAAGACGGAGGGGGAAAGGAATGCATTAAGTATCTGTTTATAGTGATGAAAAACTTGGCAATGAATACTGGTGATGGTTGCACAGCATGACTAATATAATTGATGTCACTATATTATACATGAAAAAAATGTTGCATTGGCAAATGCTACAAGGTCGACAGTTCAGACCCACCAGGCACTCTCAGAAACACTATATAGGATCACGATGAGTCCAAATCAACTCGATGGCACACACACAAAAAATACACACACAACTGCCATGAGTTGGTACTGACAGGACAGCAACTGTTTGCTACTGTTACAGTACAATCTGTCAGTAAGCTAAATTACAATAGAAGGAAAAATCCAGTAAACTGGGGAAACAAAAAAATTAAAACATTTGTTCAAACAATAAATCTGAATAGATTACCTGCTGAGTACCAGGTTGCATTCTAGAATTTAAGATAAACAAGGGTGAGTTAGGTTTCTGTCTTCCAGGAACATACAGGCAGCCCTGAGATTCTAAGGTCTGACTTACAGACAACTCGAAAACTCTGACTTGCCCTTTAATGCTATGAACACTGGCTCTCATTATGAACCAAAGGAACCAACCCCTATCATGCACTAAAACCAAAATCCACAAACCCACTGCTATCCAGTTGCCTCTGACTCATAATGACCCCATAGGGCGGAACAGAACTGCTCCATTGGGTTTCTCAGGTTGTAACACTTAGAGCAGACAGCCTCATCCTTCACCCGCACCCTGCACTAAAGCCAACCTAAATAAGAGCCAACATGCACTTGTTCCAATCTCCCTACAAAGCCTATGTGATGACACATTTAGGAAAGGTGGGGACCACCTGAACATAAATAAGGAATTGATGGTTAACTGCCATCAAGTTAGTTCCAACTCATAGGGACCCTATACAGGGTTTCTGAGGAATGGCTAGGGGGTTTGAACCACCAACTTGTGGTTAGTTGTTGTTAAGTGTCATCGAGTCATTTCTGACCCACAGTGACCCTGTATAGGGTTTCTGAGGAGCAGCTGGTGAGCTTGAACCACCAACCTTGCAGGTCAAACGGCTTTGCAGTCTGACGCATTAACCCAAAATGTCAACACCAGGAATTCTAGTCCATACACTTCAGCCTGCTAACCTAAAACAAGGTCTGGATAAACCACTATCATCCCAACTGAAAATAAAGTTAATGGTTTCTATCAACTTAGCTCACTGCTACTGAGTCAATTCAGACTCACAGTGACCCCTTATAGGGTTTCTGAGGCTATAAATCACTACTGGATGGGAAAGTCCAAAGAGCAGCTGGTGGGTTTGAACCTCAGACCTTGTGGTCATCCTACAGTGACTATCCAACAGCAACATACTAGAACTCCAATTTAGATGTCTCGAAATTCTAAGCTGCAAAGGAAATACTCGTGTCACTTTAGGTACAGGTGTACTCTTGGAGGATTTGTGTTGTGGGTGTGGCAACGCCACACAGCATTTTACTGGGAATCAGCTCAATTAAGGGAACTCCTTCAACCGTCTCACCTGCTAAACAGCATGGCAAATGTCGACTGAGATACCGAGAGTAGTACGCAACCACAAACATTATGCATTCGCCTCTACAACTGGCTCTACCAGGGAACATCTGGCTGGAGACAAATGGAGATTATGAAGTCTCCAAAACACTGAGTAAAACCCCCAGAGTCGCCTTTGAACAGCAGAGGGCAGTGCAGCAGACGCCACATGAAGAGTTGTAACGCCTGGAGCCCCCCAGAATGGGCAACTGGCTTCCCAACAGGCTGGAACTTCAATGAACGCACGGAATCGTCAACTATGCCAACTGTCCAGCGCTGGGATTCAGGTGGCTGTTTTCCATAACCTCTACTCTGGTTTGACCGTTACGGCTCCCTTGTGGATACTCTGACCTTAGAGTTGAGGAATGGGAGAACCAGGAGTTGGGGGGCAAGAAATGCTCATCCTTGGTTTTTGGAAAGAGCTTTTCAATTGTAGGAGGGTCATTCCCCTGGAGAGAGAAGCTGATCCTTCTGGACCATGACATCGCTGACAAACACGTTACAACACAGTAGCTGGGGGGGCCCGCGGGAAGGGGACCAGGGCAAAGAAACAGAAACTAATTCTGGGGGGTTAACCTTTACTCCTCTAAACTTCCAAATGGACTTCCAACAAAACTAGACGCCACTCTTTAGGTTTCGCTCTTAGTCTACCAACTGAGCCCGCCGCTCTGTCCTCCCCCGAGTATGAACTTCAAACTTTCTGCCCCTCACAGGGCCCCCTGGCCGTGGAACTCCTGCGGGCACGCCGGGCTCTTCTCAAGAAGAGCCTCGAGGCCGGGCGCCGGCAGGGCCGGAGCGACAGTCCGCGGCTCCCGTTCCCTTGCAAAGCTGCCCGTACCTGTCCAGCATCTGCTGTAAGGCTTGGTCCGGCATCTTCAGCGGAGCCGGCGCGCTCGGCCCTCTCCAGTGGACCCGGTCAGGGCCGGGCCCAGGGACAATAGCACTGAGAGGCGGCGGCGGCGGCGGCAGAGTAGGCCTCAGTCCGGCGGCAGCCGCGAACCCACCACCCAGCGTTTCAGAACGGCTCTGCGAAGTCGGCAGCGACGGTGCGCGGCCAGTGGGCGTCCGGAGGTGGCGGTGAGGAGCAAGAAGGAGGAGACTGGGGTAGGGAGGCGGCGATCGCGGCCCAGGTTCCTACCCGTCAGCCCAGGGTTCCGGTCCATGGACCGCGGGCGCCGAGTTGCTGCCGGCGGAGGAGCTACCTCTGTGAGGTAAGAGTCACCGCCTCCGTGCGCGCCGGGGTCACGACGCAGGGCGGCCCAGAGCAGCCTGGGAGATGTAGTCCTCGGACCGTCCCCGCTGGAGGCTGCACAGCCCGCCCCGACCACCGCAGCCTCGCCCGCCGCCGTCCGGCCAGCGCCCTCCGGTTTCCTTCCTTCAGGGTGGGGGAAATGTCCTTCGGGCCGCTTTCCTGGAAGCAGCAGGATGTGTCGTTCCACTGTCAGTAGCAACAAGGTCAGCCCTCCCTGCCAATTTCTACCCCCCCCCCCACACACACACACCTCTTGCTCTCAGGTGGGACTGAGCCAGGTGAGGGGAGGGAACGGCAAGGGCCATTCCACGCCAGGGTCCACAGCCCCGGCCCTGGCGTCGGAGCGGACGGTGGTGGGGATGACGGTGGCAGAAGGCTCCTCTGAAGCTCTAGACGCAGGGGCCAGCCTCTCCCTCACTGAACCCATTTTGGGAAGTTACACAATCCCCGCAAGGAGTCCGATGTTGTGGTGCGTGAGGTTATTTGGGGGGGAATGGGGTGCCGGTGGGGAATAGGGTATGCTTTGACCCGGCGGCTTCTAGCCGAGACTCTGAGTGTTAGGGCGAGGGTGAGAAGAAAAGAGAATTCTCTCCCTCCCAGGAACCTTCTAAAACGTGCCTGGGTTTTCAGGGCTCGCCGACAGCTTTCAAATGGAACACGTTCGTGAATAAACAGCTCTTGCTTACTCAGCTGTGGGTAGTCAGGGATGTTTGCTTCCCTCTCCTGCTGGCCACGGTTAACCATTTCTAGTCGCCTTGACACCTCCAAACAGGTAGTTAGGAGGAATCAAAAAGAAATCCCAAATCGCACGGGTGGTTTCTCTGACGCTCTAGGAATAGCTTTGGCAGGAGGCGAGAGCTTTGGCTGGAGCGAATGCGTATTTTGGACGACCTGTGGTGTTCTTTAGTGCTGTGCCTGGTAATTTCCTCCTGATGCTGTTTAATTTCTCCTGCAAGATAGTTGTTTTCACTTTATTTAAAATGGGCTTTTTACACTCTTGTTTATTTAGAATTTTACAGTCATTTTGTAATTCTGTGTTTAAAGTCAGTTAAGTATATTTGACTTAGAGCGTAAGCTGCTGGAGGAAAAAAAAAAAAAAAAAGTATCCAGAGGTTTAGTTGGCTTCGATTCTGATATATGCTTCTGTCAAAAGATTTGGGGGTCAGGACCAGGCACTGTTTCATTCTGCTGTGTATAGGGTCACTGTAAGTTGGAACCAGCTTGAAAGCCACTAGGAACACCAACAGTGTATCAACTAGAAATTTAGTAGTAATACTTTTTTATATTTACTCTTGTATATACAATTATGCATGCATTTATGTTTACATGTATGAGTGAAAAATCAGAACTGTCTTACCTTAGACTTCCCCCAAGTGATTTAAAGAGATCACAGGGTTTTTGTTACTGTTTTACCATTGTTTTTAAAGCAACAAAATACCAAACAGTAAATATACCTTTTCTGATTAAAAAAAAAAGAGATTTGGGGGGATTTGGATAACTAATTATATTAATGAGCCACATTTTTCACATGAAACGAGAAACAGATTCCCTATCCGCGCGCCCCCTAGGGAAGAAAAATGTGTAATCTAGGTGTCTAATATCTCTGGTAGCATAGTGGTTACGAAGCAGGCTGCGAACCTTAAGGTCAGCAGTTTGAAACTACCAGTCGCTCCGCGGGAGAAAGGTGAGGCTTTCTGTTCCTGTAAAGATTTACAGCCTTGGAAACCCTGTACAGGGTCGCTATGGGTCGGAATCGACTCGACGGCACTTAACAACAACGACAATATTTTAAAATCCTATTTGTTGTTCTTTGTTCTGTATAAGCCTGGCGCTGTGGGTTAATGCGTCAAAATGCAAAGCCGTTTGAACTTCCAGGTCGGCGGTTCAAGCTCACGGGCTGCTCCTCGGAAACTATACAGGGTCAGTATAGGTTGGAATTGACTCGACAGCACTTAACAACGCCAAACGGTGTATTTATTACTTCAAGCAATTGTCAGCTATAAGATGACGAATATATTTGAGCTTAAGAACAGAATTTGAACCTACCATATTGATTATTGTTGAGGGCTGTCGCGACCCTGGATAGAGTTTCCATGGAGCGACTGCTGAGTTTGAACCGTGGTCCTTCCAGTGCAATTCCACCTAGCAGTCCATTGTTTATCCTACAGCACCACACCAGCATGTTGACTAGAGTAGTGCAAACTTTAGCTTTATGATTTACAGTAAATGGAATTCTCACTTCAAAATTTCTGTTGTAGAAATCGATTTTATATCAGCTTTTTAATGAAAAACCAGTTTTGTGGCTCTGTCAAAAACCCTTTGAAATAGAAAAAAAAAAATTTTTTTGGTTATTTATCTTAAGAATAATTTAACACCTGACCTAGTCATTTCACTCCTACATATATTAATGAGAGGTGAAAACAGATGTCCACACACAGACTTGTACCTAGCAAAAATGTTCATAATAGCTAAAAAGGAGAAACAATTCAACTATCCATGAATCATCAGTGGATAAGTAAAATAGGGTGTATCTGTATAGTAGAGTATTATTAGGCAGTAAAAAGGAATAAAGTGGATACATGGATGAACCTTGAAAACATTCTGCTAAGTAAAAGGAGCCACGTGCTATTTGATTCCATTCTTATGTCAAGAATATTGACTTCCACATTGTTAGGAGTTGGACTTGACCCAGTGGCAGTGGGTAGAGCTGGAGGAGTTGGGGGAAATGAGTGACTGCTAATATGTAAAATGTTTCTTTTGGGGGCTGTGAAATGTTCCAGAGCTAGATAGTGGTAATGGTTGCAGTTTTGTGATATGCAGTCTTGTATCACTTAATGTCCATAATTGTTGTTGTTCAGCGACATCCAGTTAGATACGACTCATAGCGACTCTGTGTAGGGTATCTGAGGAATGTCTGATGAGCTTGAAACACCAACCTTGTCGTTCAAACCAATCTTGTGGTCCAATGCATTATCTTACAGTGCCACACCAGGACTTTACAATACATTTATGAAACAGGACACTGGGATTTGAACTTGTATGAACACACATATTCAGGAAATCCCTGGATTATGAACAAGTCCCATTCCTAAATCTGTTTTAAAGTCAAATGTGTACCTAACTTGTATGGTTTGTTTCTACATCAGTTTGTCTATTCATAACAAGAGAAACACTTCTAGATACACTAAAACATCTTACACTTAACAAAGGTGACTGTTATGATATGTTAATTATATCTCAATTATAAAAATAGGAAATGAAACAAACTTTGATTATGGTGATGGTGGTACAACTCTAAATAGACATACTATGAAAACACTGTATTGCATGACATAATCCCTGATCTAAAGTGGAGCTCCTTTTCAATGTTGTTATTGTTAAGTGCCGTAGAGTTGGTTCTGACTCATAGCAACCCTGTACAGGGTTTCCAAGGAGCAGCTAGTAAGCTTGAACCACCGACCGTGCAGTCCAGCATGGTCAAATATCCAGTTTTCAAATTTTTTCATTATTCTTTTATTATCAGTATCTTTATAAATCATAAAATTGAACATTTGTGAGTGAACATCTGGGAATGAGGATATCAGCAAATTGTGTGCTACAACATTGTATGTAGCTCGTATTGCTAATGATAAGATATTAAAAACAAACAAAAACCAAAAGCTATAGGTGGTGGTACGTGTTCTTCCACATAGCTGTAATACATTGTAAATTGGGTACTGCCTGTACTTAAAATAAGTGAATTTCTTGATATGTAACTTTTATCTCAGTAAAGCTGTTATTGATTTTGTTTTTAAAGTAGTTCCCCATATAAAATATTTATGAGTTTATACAGAGAAAAATATAAACTGATAATTATTATTGAGTTTTAAAAATTAGTCTCTGACTTAATGAAGACGTCATAAGTCAGTTCTGATATAAGTTGAGTAAATTTTAATTTTTCCCCAGCTTTTATTATTATTGCTTTTTATTATCAGCATCTTTTTCAATCTGATCTTTATTTGTCTTTGGGGGTAGAAACATTACTTATATATTAATTTACAGATATATTTTGATACCTGCATGTATACATGCAAAAATACACACATCGTAAAACTTTACTCCATCAATGAAGAAAAGTTGGAAGACATTTTCAGTAATCACTTTGCCCATAGAAGGTTGTGGATCATCTGGATTACGCCTGGGAATAGGGTTGGCATTTCTAGTCAGAAAATTAGAGTTGCTTGGATTAAAACAAAGAAAATTTCTTTATATATTTTGCAGGAACATCTCACTACCTCACCAAACTGTGGATCAGCTTTAACAAAACTATCAGCATTTGGGTCAGTGTTTTCAAGGAAAACATTTAGTTTAGAAAAAGACTTCAGCTAATCTTTTCACTGTAAAAATTTCAACAACTTCTCTTATTTCTTCTTCAGCATATTTTTTACTTCAAAATTGGTACTCCTAGTCTGTCCATTTCCTTCCTCCTGATCTATGAGCTATTCCACTTCAGTGATATCAGATTATGCACTGCAACGTTGTTTATAGCACAGACCAGGGTAAGCGCTACAAAAAGCATTGCTACAAAATCGTAGAAACTTTTTATTAAACAAAAATATCAAAATGTGAAGCTATTGTTTCTCGACAGGTCCTCCATCTTGGTCTGTCCACTTCTAAAGGTGATGTTGCCGTGTATCTAACTCTTCTGCAAAGAACTCTTTGCTCTTCAGTTTACACCATATCAAAATAACAGTTTTGGTATCCTCAAGGGACTCAAATATGTTCCTTTGAGTTTGGGAAACAAAAGTCTGAAGTGGTAAGATCAGGGCTCTAGAGTGGATGAGCTGAAGGAATTTGCCTAGAGCAGTCCTTGATACCCTTGAAGAATGAGCAGGTGCATTTTCGTGATGGAAAAAATATGTATAGATAGACAGGCCTTTGCTCAACTTTCCTGGCCTTTTTCTCACCAGTGGAGCTTTCAATTTTCTTAAAACTTCTTCCTAGTAATCCCTAGGATCATTCTGTGTTTTCAAGAATATCTATCAATATTGTTGTTGTTGGTATTAAGTGCCGTCAAGTCGATATGTTGTTGTTGTTGTTAAGTGCCGTCGAGTCGGTTCTGACCCATAGCGACCCTGTACAGGGTTTCCAAGGGTGTAAATCCTTACGGGAGTAGAAAGCCTCATCTTTCTCCCGCGGAGCGGCTGGTAGTTTCGAACCACTG